ATTATGTATACATTGAGTTAAAAAAAAAACCCTTAACTTATTTAAACCTTTAAGAATAAAACATTTATCGTGCCGTGGAATTTTAAAAATTCACTTTATGTAACGAGAAATAACGGCATTAAAAAAGTCATTAATTGGTATTGCAGTAGAAATGCAATAGCTATTTTTTTTTTTTTATCTACAAGTAGTTACTACCTATAGACATCGTGAAGACTTTACTGCAATAACATGGCACTTCCCGCACCTAACCACCCTTCCCAGACTGTATGTATATATATTTATATACCTACTCCTATGCTTTTCGATATTTTTATTGCTCCCAAATGCCCTAAATTTTTTTTTTCTTACTCCACAAACTTCACGTCCATTACTATTCGGGAGCTATAAAATTGTTTGTAAATAATATATAAGCCAGGGGAGCAGTGAATATTTAATATTCAGGTGTATCGCGATAAAAACGAGACGAGAAAAACGATTTTGTGTTCGACGGAAAAAAAGTATCATCCCTATGTAGGTGCGCCTTTGAAAACATATCGCACTCGCGTTTACGGGGCTTGTTTACACGTGTAAATATATAGGTACCTATCCTGCGAGATTAAAAATACAACGAAAATCAATAACACCGTTTATAATACAATAAGACACTCTCGCCGATCACTGAGGGGGAGATGTGAACACACAAACTCGTCAACGTTAATTACGTTATTTATTGTAAAGAACGAAATTGCCGTTGCGCATGTGATGATTTCAATATAATTATTTCCACCATCACCGCTCACCATCAATGTCCTATGCTACACTAGTCGAACCCTTGCAGGATATAGACACGCGAAACGACCCTTTTGCGTACACACAAAACGATAATAACCAAAATAATAATAATTGTTAGTTGTTACACGTCATTACAATAACACAACCATTGTCGTTGCCATTTTTCCTTGCATTCATACCATATTATGCAATTATATAATACCGATAATGGTATTTGGGGTCGTGCATCGAACACGCTGACAAACTTCCACTGTAGTCCCGTCACTTCGTCGACAAAGTGAATAGGAATAGAGTGGACTAATGGACAATAAGTGAGCAATGAAAAGTAATTCAGAAACACAGTAATAATGCAATGTTTGAATTTCTATTTACGAACAAAATATTATATTATACCTCATAATTTAAAATGGAACATATTATGGCGTTAATTGAACTCAAAATCGTCAATATTTAAGAATAATGGAGTGACGCAGTTTATTATGACATCAAACACGAGTTTACAAGAAAATTACGGCATTTGATATTTTGATAGCACTCGAGTAATATTTATTTGTAGTATTAGTAGTACCACCTACTTAATTATCATTATATATTCATCCATCAGAAGTATGATGCCAATTAATATAATGTCACTTATCTCAGGAATTATATAGGTACATATTATAATACTTGAATTTTCAGTAAACATTGAATTTATTTATTGCTGTTAATTTGTTATTTTTGGTAAAATAGCTAAAAAAATATTCCTTAATTCAAAGCTAACACTATACAAACGTCTAATAAAAAAAGCCTTTCTTTACAGAGTACACACGGTCCCCAAATCTAGAGCTATGACACAAATAAATATTTAAAAAAATTCAAACCAAATATACAAAACAAAATGCAAGTTCTCTTGACAAAGACTTTCACTTTGAAGACATTGCAGGATTGTACTTTATTATCATACACCCGTTACTTTATTTTCTTATAAAATCAACTGACAATCCTCTCAAAAATCTCACTTACATCAATATTTTATGGTAAATATAAATCGTAAGAAAATATTAAAACCTAAATAGTGAGGAGATTTATTGAAATTCCCTCGTCGGTTAGGGGCGGTAATTTTTCTTCGAGTCACTCGTGCTATATTATCGTCCAATATCGTGTATGCTTGTCGTAAATGCGTACAGCTTATTGTTATGTGCGTTTATATTTCATATATTAAAATGTAAAAGTATAAAAAAACATACGTTATTCAATAAATATTTCCATCAAATAAATACTAACATTATATTAAACGAATTCTACAAATAAATAAAAAGAATTATGTGTAAACAAATACAGGGAATTGAAGAGAGGCCCACATTGCTTCCTCGCCTCGAAAAGACAAGCAAGTCGTTCAGCGCTGTAAATTGTAATACCTATACTTACAATCGATACATAATATTATACCTACACGTAGATGTATGAAAGCAATAAATTCGTGGCCCTAAAAAACGTAGCACTAATAATATGTACCCAAAAGTTTATATAACTATATACCTTGCATACCTACTTATGAGTTCTACGAAAATATATCCATACTAATCATTGTGGGTATTATAATTTCTAAATTATAATAAAATGATTATGTTGCGTGTCCCGTGCAATAATATGTTCCAAGAATAAATAAAAAATATAAAAGTCGTTATAATGTGGTCAGATGAAGGTTAAAGTGTAACATGAAAACAAAACTCCATAAAGGAATTGAATTTAAACTTGTAATATTTTTCTTTTTAAATCAAGATAAGAAAATAACCTTTACTTTTCTTCGGACCAAATAGCAACAACAGCTAATAAAGGTAAAAACAACATAAGCTAGTTCGGTCAAAACTTTTAGTCTCTTGAGACTTTCTAACCCAATAAAACTATCGTTGTTCAATATTAAAATAAATCCAATGAGATAAAATCAGAATGTCTTCCGAAGTTATTTACAACCAAATATAACACGTGGTTGTGGAGTATTATTAATTTAGTACTTTATGGCGACAATTAAATAGAAACGATTTGGTAATAGACAATGGGTGCGGTATTCCATAGTTGTCTGCTTGTTTTTAACACATTTAATATAATAGAAATATGTATACAATTCAATATTTAACACGGATTGACGTGCATCAAATATATTATGTTTATATATTTATAATTTATATATATATATATATATATATATACAACTATAAATCGACGAGGCGACTATATATGTACTATTATGTACTACATAAGTATCATAATAATAAACATAATAGGAATGTGAACAATGTATGGGTACACGTTGAAACATTACAGAAAATATATTGTTGTGAATGCAGAGTATTATGCTTGTACTGCGATACATATACACACTAAAAGATATCCATATTACTTTAGTACTATATAGATATCTACCCATATTTTTGTAATCTATAATGCACGTCGTCAAATTGAACGCATAGGTAAGTGCACTATTATTGTCACTTTGGCCATACGGTGTAACATAAAAGTGTCGTATTCGTGTGAATGTACAATACACGTTTAGAATATACTATAGGTATTCTAAAAAATTAAAGTATAAAAACGGAAGTGAAATAACACACCATATGCATTATTTATTGCTGAACACGTTTTCTATAATCTATCCAGCCGAAGGAGGGTGTCTGATGTAATGCGCATGCGCATGCTATATGTACATAAACCTATAGCATAACTATTTACTCGTCGTTTCTGCATGAATGTCAAAAGTAGACATTTTTTTTATTATATATTCAAACGATTCATCTTACGGTTTTTCGTGTTATTAATAATATTAGTCCATCATATAATTTCAAATGATAAATGCAGCTAATTATTACGGTAAGAGTTTAAAATACCACATACATATGGTATGGTGAAAAAAAATCATAAATTACCTTCATTGGTTTATGTTATTCAAACAGTATTCCAATACATTAAAAAAAAATCAACATTTCAACTTTTATAAATTTAATAAATTTTCCATAGCATACATTATACATAATATACAACACAATTAAATTTAAAACTATAAAGTAAATAACAGATGGGTAAAATGTGAAATGTAACAGATCAAATAAGTAATGAAAATACGATAATGTACTTAGATCCTAAAAGTTTTTCTATTGGTTTTGTAAGTTTTGAACGAAGTGGATCGTAAATCAAACCTACTAGCCTAATGAAGTCTGAAGAAAGATATCGATCATTTAACTCGGAAATAAAGAACAACTTACAAATTGTTTCAAGGTGGTGAAACTTTGTGACTCGTGTCAAAAGTAATTTTACAGTTTGTTGCTTCCAATGTAATACAATATTATTTATTATTATAACATTAACATTAATATTATAAAAATATAATGTTGTCTCCAATGTATATGCTCTCAATTTGTGAGTTAAACAATAGCTTGCTTGTTTTCAAAAACTTTAATATATTATTAATTATAATATAATATTTATATATTATTTAAATAAATAGTAAAATGACACAATAATAAATATACATATATATGATTTCAAATACTAAATAACTATATATATTATAATTAATATATTTATTTATCACGAAACCTTTTCACATTTTATTTTAATTATTTACCGAATGTTTTATTATGCGTTAACCACACTTAATATAATACTTAGATCCATAGGCAAACATCTTACTTTTGTCTGCTAAAATCATGACGTTGGTGAAATACAACAAATTAATTACTTATTAGTTGTTATTATACTACAAGGAAACTATTTTATTTTTCCCATCTCGACATAACAGCTTTATGATTATAAATTATAATTATGATCAAATCATACATTTGCTCACGTTGCGCATTACAAACTATTTTTTTATTTAACTTATTTTTTATTTTTTTGTGTATGTTGATTATAATTAATACTTTAAACATGTTTTTTTCAAGGTTAAGTACAAAATAGCAGAGTTAAGTAAATACGTAAATAGGCGATTGGAATATATTTTCAAATTTTAATGTAGGTTTATTTATTAGTTAAGCTAATGAGCTAATGGGAGGAGGTGAAAACACCCGTGGGTCTATGATTAATTGTAGGAAAAAAAATTTAACCACAGGACGTTAATCCCGCGAAAACTACTGGCCATACATAATAGTTGGTTTGAAACTCTAAAAAATGTTCCTTAAGCTCTTCTGTATAAATGAACATTAAAAAAAAAATAACATGATTACACAAAATATGGTCGGATGCATATATTGGTAATTGTGGTGCATTTTTTTTTTAAGATTTTGGTTTATCTACACAATTATATACTACCTTCTAATGTTTTGAAGTTTTTCTCTAGAAGAGAAATATATCCTATAAATGCCATTCATATTTCATAGTGTTTTATAGGGTGCATCGTATTTGTTCATGCAAAAAATACAAATTAATAATTTTAATAGTAATAATTGTACATTTTTTATTACCTAATAAAGTTACTCATATAAATTCACAGTTTTAATAACAATTTGGATTTTATTAAATACTACTTCGTCATATTTTTTAAAAATCTCTACTAAGTATTATAACTTATAGGTTAATACTATACAATCATTGGTAATTGTGTTATTTTCAGTCATTAACTTTAATGAGTTACTTTGTATTTGATGATTTATGATTACCTATCCATAATATACAAATAAATATAATTTAAATAAATTAAAAATAATACGAATAATTTATTTTAAAATAAAATTACCTAAATTAAAGTTGGTATTATCTTCCTCGTCACAAATAATCGACAATTTGAATACTCTCAAACAATTAAATTGTCATGAGTCAAATCTGATCCATATATAATGTCAATCAATTATCCAATGTAGTTGTATAATAAACCACCTAAAACGTCAATAAAAATAAGTTATGACTAGATTTGTTTCTAATAATTCTTTGAGCAATAATTGTATTATACTTAGATACATCTAAAAAAAAAAACACAGTACTTAATGTGAATTGTTTTAAAGTGATAACAAATTTATCACATCAAAGCACAATACCGAAAAGCAAATAATTTTTAAAATAATAATAATGTATGATTACCTGGTAATTGAAACAATTGATTATCACAAAGGAACAATTTTTTTTTTTAATTGTACAGTGGATACCCAGATTTATGATGGGGTCTGTTGTAACAAAACGCATGAATAATTATAAAACGATCGAAAATCGGAAATTTTCAATCAAAATCAATTTCATAGTTACAACAGTTTTGTATTATGATTTTTTATTACCTCTGGGTTACATTATTTTTTAATTCATTAAAATTTAATTATTTCATTTCTAGTCCTAGAAAAGTTTTAAATATATTTACTTACAAAACATCTACATAAAGTAGAAGACTTAAAACTTCTTTTCATCAACTGAATATCTGTTTTTCTACAGCATAACTAGTCTGTGTTTGTTGATTAACTTTAATTTAGTATATATTTGAAGAGAAACTAATTATAACCAAGTTTCAATAATTTATCCCCGCAAATCGAGTGATTAATTATTAAAGCTTATAAATACGTAATATTATACCTTTATGTCTATTAATTTATAATAACAATTATTACAGCGGTTTTGAGTTAAAAAATATGATTATTAATTATGTATAGGTATACACAGACAATTATAAATATAATTATTTTTAAATTGTATTTATGCATTGTTAAGTATTTAATATATGTATATTCTATATTATTTCATGACAACATTTCATTAAAATACATTGATCAAAATATTTAATACACCCAATTGATTCTGTTTGTATATTGTCAATTAGTTCCAATTTCTCGGTTACTATGGGAAATTAATCTGTATGCCTAATTTATACAATTTTTCAATTAAATGTATACTACTTGCAATATTGAATTTAATATAATATTTTGACTTTAATTTAAAACACGGAGAAAATATTAAGACTATGGTTGTCTCTTCGCAAATAATGAAATACTACTTACATGTAATTTTATTTCAGATTATACCAACCTTCATTATTCATTTTTTTTATTCAAGCTATATATTTTGTACTATTATAGCCATTGGTAAATCTTAAAAGAATGTTTGAATTGAAATCAATTTGAAATAATCAACAGATTTGAGTTGCACTATTTTAAAATGACGACATTTTATATTACCTACCGTGCTTCATGGGACAGTAAATATAGATTCAATGTAGATATATTGACCAGTAACAAGATACGAGTATGTTTATGGTTGATATTCAGAGTACATTAACCATGAACAATTATTAGCATACAGAAGTAAATAATATTATGTGATAATTATTTATAACAGTTGAAATTATTAAATAATCGAAATAAAACCAATTTTAACATTTGAGTAGATACATAGAATAAACTTCTTTAAACTCGTGATTTTATCTGAAACAAAAAAAAGTATATAAAAGTACAATCTGAGTATGAACGTTGAAAAACTTTTCTCGTTTAATAATGTTTTGGATGTTCAATTTAATTTAATTTAATTTATACTCTAAAATTTAATCTTTCTAATTGGAATTCTGTGATTGCCGATAAATTTACCACATTAACTACATAAACAAGCAAAACTTACTTGCATCACCGTACGTATTGATACAATTTTAGAATACAGTATTATCTGACTTCCAAGACTAGCATCGACTTCCAAGTTTTAAGATAATTTAAGAGGATATTTTTTATACTGTTAAAAATTTAAAAAAATATGAATATGTGTTAATTTATTTGTAAATATTTTGTGGTCACGCCAAATTAATATTTCAAAACATATTTGCATAATGCATAAAAAAAATAATTTTATAAAATAGGTAGTATGGTAAAAATTGTTTTATGTATCTATACTTCCATAAAATACTTTTAATGGGTCATATTTAAAAAATATGTTTATAAAAATATAAAAATATTTAATTTGTTTTATATTGATTAAACGCAGTAATAATAGTTAGTCATGACTCATGAGTAATAACTCATAAGTATTATATAATCACCAAACACATATTTCAACTAACCTTTAGCAATATTATTTCAACTAAATACAAATTGTAAGTTTTTGAATAGGCTGAACGCCGTTGTCTCTCCTTGTTTGTCCTTGTCTATGTCTATTCTCACCTCTTTTCTAATATACAGGTCTACTTCCTACCTAAACTTTATTGTTTACGCAGATGTATGTTTGAATGCATTAGCATCAGTGATTAATAACTTAGCTATAAACTATATAATATTATACAATATTAAATTATAATTAAAAAAATATCTTCTTGGTTATTCCAAATTTTCAAAAATATCAAAAATGAATGTATTTATTATTAATTTAGCTGAGATCAAACAAGAAACGTAAATCTTAATAACTATGGCTATATCTGTATAGGTATTCACATTATTTTGATTTATCATTTACTATCATTAAAGTAATACTAATTTGAGGTTCATGCTTTTATTATTATATTCGATGGCCTTGTACCGAGTGGTGCTAAGTCCCACCCGTCCCACATGGTTCAGAGGTCCACGTTGACTTATTTTATGTGATAAATAATACTAATAATTTCATATTAACGTTCTCCAACGTGAATAAACATTAATTAAATACAATTAATTTAATAAGGAAATTGTGCGTAGGTATATTATATTTTATGTTTGTTATATAGTATTCTGATTCAAACTTTTTTCCATCCTGATAAAAAATTATTTAAAAATTAAAACTATTAAAACTAGTTTATTGCAATTAGATAATCTTCATACATTTGTACCTGTATATTTTAGCGAAGTACTTAAAAATAATTTTTATTGAGTAACACTGTGGCTTAATTTAATATTACTAATAGGTGTATAAGGTCATGAGTATGAAATTGTTCACTTTGAAATGTTTAAAAGTTTTAACTTTTACCCTTCTTGAAATATTTATGTTCATACTGATTTCATACCTGATTAGTGATTAACCTAACTAGATTATCAATATTTAATTTCCAATCACGGTGTAGAGAAGATTTATATAAGATAGATAATTATTATGTAATCTATATAACATAGAATGTAAGCAATATTTCTATAACATTTTCCACTTAACATTTAACTAAGTAGATGTGTTTACTGTACTTCCGACTATAGTTTTAAATTAAAGTTTCATTTTTATGCAGTGATTATAACTGTATGATGTTCAAAGATTGAAACTTGTGATTTTTTTTTTTGAGGGTTAATTCAATTTTATCATGCTGAAGTCATTAAATATTTCAATCTCATATCAATAATATTTGTTTGAAGGAAATCATATAATAGTATAATACTATTTATCGATATAATGTTGATTTTACAATCATATATAGAATTTAGGCTGCTTTGGATGATTTTTTATGCTTATCTCTTTCCCTCTACCCTCCCCGCCCACCTAAGGGTACAAAATTTACACTAGTTTTTATGCATCCCCTGTTAAATAGACATGCGTGCCTATCATAAATGTGGTTGTTGCTTTTATGAGAGTAATATTGAATAATGTAATTGAACTTTGTGCAAAAATATTATTTTATGTGTTTGTTTAATTAATGTACATATTTTGCAGAAACTATCTCTCCTTTTCGAAGTGGGTACCTACATGATGTACATGAATGATCCATCAACAGTAGCAGTAACCAAATTAATTATTTTAATTATTTTTTGGAGGTGAGTTAAAAGAGCAAATATATATTAATGTTGTGTGTGCGAAGCGGGACGCCACACCAATGTCCCTGTTTTATTAGTGCGCACGCGAAGCACACTTGAGTAGTCGAGTACCAATATATATGTACACCACCATAAAGGTGAATAAAGTAAGCCTGACGACGACATACACTCCCAAGTCCCAAGAGATATACAACACTAGTGTTGCTTGCATTTATATAAACATATATATAATATAATTAGATAGGTACCTAGATAGTATTCGCATCGTTTGTCATTCATTGGAACATCGATCGGCCACAGTGACCACACCGTCCTATGTCAACAAATATACTTTTGTAACCTTTGAATCAAAACGCGTTCAAGGTAAATAACTTTATATAAGGTATCAAAACTATTAGTTTACATTTGCAACCCAGGACATAGATAAAATGAGTTGAAGAAAACCCTTCAAATATTCCAAATAAACAATAAGTATTATGATATAGTTAAAATTATATTTTTATAAAATCTAAGAAAAATGTTACTAGTAAGTTGTCAGTTGTAATGATTTAAAATTATAAACGGCAATAAGGGCGTGACTAAACGGGAAGAACCGGCGACTATGCACCTGCTACACTAACGGCTACTTGTTTAGTTGCTTCCCCATAAATTCGATATGAATTACATTTGCTATTATGTTGTCATTCGTTGTTATTACACAATTGCATTCCATTAAACTTTTTTTTTTAAACAAAATAAGTGCTAACAATTATTAATTTTGAAGGTATTAATTTATTAGTCACTTAGTGAACTAGGGATAGGGGAAAAGGATAAATAATTTTGATTGGTTTACCCAGCCTCGAAGGTCTGGCGTTGCCTTTGGTAATATAACAGTTTCATAATATAATATTGTTAGGTCATATGAACATAATTATTGTATTATTAATCAAATATTGTAATTGCATTGTATATTGAAATTACTTTCATTATAGCATAAATTTAAGTTACAATTTCATTTTATTTTATATAGGAATCAATCACAATGAATATCAAAATAAAAACATTTTCTAAAAAAATTAAAAAAATTATTTTTTAGATTTCCTTTAAACTAAGTAAATTTTTTCCTGAAAAAAATTACCAACCGCATAATTATTTTAAAAAAAACAGTTCAGAGTTGACAAATTGAATAGCAGATGGTTTAAATCTAGTAACTGGTGTTTTATTCATTTTTTACACATTACAGGAGATTTATAAATAAATGACAAGTGACACAGACAGAAATGGCGCACCAGGATTTTGTCCAAATTTGATATTATAAGCCACATGAGTCCCCGAAAATGTCCCCTCAGTGAGATAGTTATTTCAAACCTCGTTTTAGTTTTCCGTACAAAAATATTATAAAAATAAAATTACAATAATACTTAATTGTTTTAGATTCTAGACAAGAGATCATTGTATTGATTTTACAGTGATGTGTGATTTTTTTAACTCCTTTTTTGTATGCGTACCCGAAAAATAGTTAAAAAATGCTTAATATTTTTCAAAATAATTAAGAGAAACAGAACGAAAAAAATAGAA